GTATACTATTGATCACATCAATCTTATTTTGTTTTATTTTTTTTTAATGTCTTATCCTAAAGTACGTTTCTTTTGCTCTTTGGAAATTTAATTTTAATTTTCTGATTTTAAAAGTGAAAGGTATAGTGGTAGAAATCCATCACAACCAAATAGTAAATAAAAGCAGCAATAATAATCAAGTGTTATCAGCTCTTATCTCTCCAGTAAACTGTCGCCTGATAACTTTTGGAGTTTTTTCCAAAGAAAAGAGCTCAGTCAAAGGTGGTCCTTAGGTGAACACCACAGACAGCAGGTGTTGATCAATACTATCATTCATTTGGTCTGTAATGTATTCTGACCCTGGCAATTTAAGTAACCTTACACCAGTGATTCCTTGGAAGGGAAAAATCAATTTGGGTTCCTCTGAGTGTTGTGGTGAAAGGCTGTACCCCCGAACCCCCCACCATTAGCAGATGACGCTCGAGGGTCTGCGGTGGTCTGTTGATATCGTAGAGGTCATGCTCTCGTAGGTTACCCCGGGCGAGGTGGTCGCTCACATCGACCAGAGTCCAGAGACGGCGATAGAAACGCTGTGGCCGAGCCATCAAACAAAGATGGACCAATCAGGTGCAGTTGCTACGGTGGTGGTTTCAGGACGAATGACAAACACTCCACTTATTTTCCCGCTAGCTGCTTTTGGCTACCTCTGTACTGAGAGAGGAGCGGGGGGGTGGGGGGGGGGACAGAAGCAGGAAGCAGATAAAAAACGTGTGAAAACAGATGACGAGCGCTAATTTGAAGAGAGCAGGAAATGGACAAAGAGTGAATAGGAGGGTCAGACCACGGGGGATGTGATGGTGATTAATGGGGACATTTAGCGCAATCAGTGTGACTAAAAGACAATTCAACAGTATAATGAAAGTGTGTCTCTGTCCTTCTGCGTCATTAAAACTCTAACGCTAACGTGAGCACAGACAGTGACCTGACTGTTGAGTTCCTCGGTGGGTTTTATGCATCACTGACATGACCAGCTTTCAACCTTCCCTCCAGTGGAGAACAAAGGAGAAAAAACTCTTTTTTTTGTTGCCGAGTGTCCTCAAAAGAGAGGCCGCTGTCATAATGTCCTTCATCACCGATGCTTTTTATTGAATCCTCATTAATGGCCCAGTTTTTCTGCCAAATATATGTCTTCTTTCTTTGAAACGAGGCTCTTTTTTTTGCACAGTGACAATAATTCAATAGGTTGGAAACGACTTTATTTCTTAGGGTCCAAATTCTATTGAGAGTTGTTTCGCATTAGTGTTAAAAATACTTGAAGAAGAAACATCGATCCTGACATGACAAAAGCAAAAGAATCAAATTGATTTTTTTTTTTTTTTACATTAAAGTGACAGCAAAGGCTACAGCGACGGTGCGGCTCCTCGAACCACACGTGTGGCAGCTAATCCGTTAATCAAGCCTGTTCAGTTGAGGCTAACGGCCCTGTTAAAAGGATTAACGCTTCGATCGTTGCACTCACAAACCCACAAAAGACACAAACATAAAAGCTGGTCCAAATACTGGAGGCACACGAAGCCACAGATCAATTTATACTGCAGTTTGGAATTCAAGATCAAAGGATAAGTCTGACTAAGTGAGCAGGTTCCTGCCCCGCAAACAGAGAGCGGTGCCGCAAAAAAAATATTTTTCTATTCAGAATGGTAAACAGTTCAATACATATATGCCCAATACATACATATACATATACATATATATGGATACTAATGACTGCCAGATGCTGTTTTGCTAAGTTTTTCCTGCTCAGGACAATTGTTAATCTTTCTTGCTATCAGCAATATTTGAAGGCTTATTTTCTCGGTTCATCACCCAATAATGTGTTTGCTGCTCAGATTGCCCTTCTATGAGTCATGGAGTTCTTCAGGGACGAAAATATTTGGAGGTAAAAGTTGTAATGTCTGCGGGTTGAAGGACAAAATTGTCATACATTATGGTTGAAAGGCTATGAGTATGCCGACTTCACCCCGACACGTCCTTATCCATCTATTTTCTAGACGCTCTATTCAAGAGGCCTTGTTAATATTCAGCCATTGTTGGGTTTTGAATTGTAGTGTCAATGGATGCATATAAAATAAGACACATTTTTCACACGTAATAATTCAGATATGCAGTACCTAGCAGCGGCAGAGCTGCTGCTATGAATACAATTTATATGCAGATGATGTCATGCTGTGTTCAGGCGTCAGAGTCAAAGAAACTGGTGTGAAAATTGTTGTTTGTTTCTTAAAGGTATACGGTACAGTATTATTCTGCGGGTGTGAAGCAGAAATACAGCATATGCAGCTGATGGTCACGAGGATAATTTATGTGCAGGTTTAAAAATATATGTCTTTTTTCGGTGGATTAGTGTGTGTCCGTGTGTGTGTGTGTGCTACTGCTGCTGTGACTCAGCGTTGCCATGGTGATGGTTGAAGTTCAGGCTGAGGTTGATGCTTGCACTTCAGCTAAAGTAGATGATGTTGCATAAGGCACATTGTAGGAAACACTCATGCAGGTATAACGGGTGCGAGATAGATCACTATTTTTTTCCCCCTTGGTTTGTGTTTCTTTTCACATTATTCTTGGAAACTGGATTTTTATAAAACCACGGTCCTAGTGAAGTGCAGAGGTAATAGTATTGTTTTAATTCACTTGCCTTGCTGGTTCCCCAGGAGAAGCGCCCCCCCTATTTTTCTATCTCTTGACTACACCCATAACTGAGATTTTTGTGAGGGTAAAAGTAAAACAGTACATTTTTGCATCTATTAACAATGAAGAGAAACTGAGTAAAAGTTGCTTTAGCACCTTAGCACCTAGTTTTTTAAGGACATCTACTTTAAAAAAAATGTCGATTAGAGGTGATGTCAAGGTGATGTCAAGCTAACGCTGTTGAGGTCTGCTGGATCTAGAATTATCCAGTCTCAGGCCAATATCATTTTGAATGCATGAATGAATCATACCTGTCTACAACCAGATATACTATTTTCTGAAACACAGTTTTCATTTATGTCTATGTTTTTTTCTTGTTTCAAACGTAAGTCCAGTTTTTAACATAAAGTGAAGATCTATCAGAATTCAGCCGTTTTGTGCCAACAGAACACATATTAGTCAGTGTTTAATTTTAATTAATTTTTTTTTAAATTAACATTACTATTATTATTAGGGTAAAAAAAGGGTCGACCATTTGAAGAAAACTATTTAAAATGTTTCTGAAACACAGTTTTCATTTATGTCTTGTATGAAAAATCTGACACTGTTTCTTTCTTATTTCAAACGTAAGTCTAGTTTTTAACATAAAGTGAAGATCTATCTGTGCCAACAGAACACATATTAGAGTGAGTGTTTAATTCTAATTAATTACAAAAAAAATTAACATTGCTATTATTATTAGGGTAAAAAAAGGGTTGAACATTTGAAGAAAACTATTTAAAAAAAACCTGTCTACAACCAGATATACTATTTTCTGAAACACAGTTTTCATTTATGTCTATGTTTTTTTCTTGTTTCAAACGTAAGTCCAGTTTTTAACATAAAGTGAAGATCTATCAGAATTCAGCCGTTTGGTGATGACTCTTTAAAATCACTCTCACTGTGAGATAAGAGGTTACTTTGGCCGACTCTGCTGTTTCTGTCTAAATTCAACAGTGACAGTCTGTTGTTTCCATGCAGAGCAGAAAAGTACCAGAGTTTAAAATGTCACCGTTCAAAATTTCACATTTTTCCCTGAAATTAAAACAATACAGTTTGTTACGCACCAGCAGCTGTACGGCAGTAATAGGTGCAGTGGATTATGACAGAGTGTGTGTGTGTGGGTTTGAGCTGGTGTGTGTTTCTTTGTGTGTGTGTGTGTGGGGTGTGTTAATTCAATGGAAGACCGTTGGGAGAATCATTAGACTCTCAGCCAGGACTCATATTGAGGTTAATTACCACCTTTTTGCCCTGAAGACACACACAAACACACAAGTAGTTTTTGATGCTCCAGAGGAGCAGGAGGGATAAACATACAGGATGTTTTTTTGGGGGGGGAAGTTGTCCTAGCAATGAGTCAGCACGAGTGGTTATTTTATGTTCCGACATTAAAAGGTCGTCGGGAGAAATACACATATTTTGCATCTTTTCTAACATTGTATAATTGGTCTGTTGGTTCAGTGGGTACATTTGTTAGCACCAGACTTAGCCTTATTTTCCTTCAATGCTGCTAAAATTTCAAGTAACGTTTTTTTCTTTCTGGAAATTAATTATGCATATTTTAGTCAGGGGTCTTAAAGGTGTGGGGCGAGGCCTTCAGTAAAGAACTTACACCTTAAGATAAATTTAGGTTTAAAAGCTCTTTTGTTGTGGGGGTTTTTTTTGAGCCGAACAGTGAACTTCACAAAAGTTATATCAGATTACATAACGGGGGCTGGAGTCAGTCGCAGCTACTGAGTAAACCTAACCATAAACAACCATTCACACTCATATTCACCTTCACAACCAACAGTGAACTAAACAACCATTCACACTCATATTCACACCAAAGTTCTATTTAGAGTCAACCATTAACCCTAAATTCTACATAAAACTTCATACGAAGACTAAAGACCAGGGATCGCACTCGAAAACCTCTGCTAACTCTAAGGCAAGCTCTAAAAAAAAATTACGTTACCTTTCACTGTGCCTTTATATGACAGTATATCATGTTTTCCATGTTAACGCTCCAATGCTCTCACCCTAACAGTTTACCATACGTTTGCTTTATGCTTTGTGATCTCCATGTTCCTCTGTCTGTTATATAAGAATAATTATACACAATGTATGCATCTGCTCAGGGGCCTCTTATATTAGAGTTCATTCTGCTGAGCTCCCTCTGATGTTTACCTCTCAGTAAACCCAGTCCCGTCACAGTGGGAGAATTCTTGCTGATATTTTTTTTTTTTTTGTCACCTCATCTTCTATTATTACATTCATTATTTATTTATTTATTTTTGTTCTATGTGTTCACCCAGGTTTTAAAGATCAGCCTCATCGGCCACAGAAAACGGATTCTGGCCTCGTTGGGCGACAGATTACACGAAGACACCCCTCAGAAACCTCCGCGGGCCATCTCCCTCAGGGTGAGTCGCAAAGTGAGACAGCAGGACCTCACTTACGATTTAAATGCACTGACCTTCAGGAATAACTAAAACCAAGGCAGATTTAAGGTATGAATTAAATATACATGGACATTTCTCTGAGGGGAAATGCTGCTAATTTTACCACACACCTCATTATCCCATTTTTCCTGAAGGCACAAAATGGCCGACTCAGTGCTGTTTCCACCCGTTAATAGTCACAAATACTGATACTATAAAGTCTTTTCATTTTGTTTCAAGACATTTTAACTTGGTTGGTTGGTTTTGCTCATTTTCTGTTGTCCAGAGCCTCTTTTTGTGTTTATTTGAGAGAAGAAAAAATATTCACATGGAAGAAAAATGAGCCAAAATGTCATGATATTTGTTCCCGGATCATTTAACCTTACACAGAAAAGTAAGAGAGTTAACCTTTGCTGTGACATTTTTCCTGCTGTTTCAGACCTGATTGCTTTTGTTATCGACCAGTCAGTTTTTAAGGGCATCTACTTAAAAAAAAAATGTCAGCAAAGAGTCTAAAACTCCAAGTTTATAATGGAGGTCTTGAAGGTAAACAGTGTCCAGCTTCTAACAGGGATTTGTTCCTGAAAGATGTTCCTCAATGTCTTTGGGACAAACCATGGATTAGATTAAAGGTGATGTCAAGCTAACGCTGTTGAGGTCTGCTGGATCTAGAATTTTCCAGTCTCAGGCCAATATCATTTTGAATGCATGAATGAATCATGAATACAAAGTATTTGCTCTCTCTTCTTTAAAAGGAACGACTGAGTCTCAGTTACTGAATTGTATCTTTGTCTCAATCCATATTCAGTTAATAAATCTGTTTCAGTTTTAGTGAGTTTTTGTTGATGAACTGTCAACCAAATTAAAATATTTTTACTATTTAAATTTAGCCACTAAATAGTCTAATTTTTTTTTAATTGACTATATTAACAAAGGCAATAATTGATTTGACGTCACCTTGTGTTAATCTAAAACTTTACTAAAAAGCTTCTAGATATCAGAACTTTATTTGAATTTTATCATCTTCATAATACTGAACAGGAGAAGGTTCCGTCATAAGAACCTTCTGCAGGTCGTCTTTGCATCAGAGCAGAACAGTTTTAGACACTGGTACACAGCACCATGGCAACACCGGAGCTAAAAAAACTAGTATGATGGTGTGAGAGTATTTGCCCTACTTACCACACTTGCAGCGGTGACAAAGCACATTATGAAATGACAAATGAACTCCCCTCCCCCATTTCTCCTGCTTTTCCACTCTTCTGATTTCCTTTTCCCACCCATGGTTGTCCCACAGGAGCCGGGCGGGAACCACACTCCTCCCCAGCTCAGCCCGTCGGTGGGACAGGCAGCGGACACGGCGGGGGTCCCC